TCAGGAGTAACGTCCGAGCTTTTGGGTATTCACACGACAACGTGATATCCTGGTTCCTGGACTGTTTTTCGTAACAATCGTTAAACTCAGCACGTCTGTCTGGACACCTAGAGATCAAATAGTCAGTCTATGTGATGACTCATTTACCAGTCTGTGTGACGATCAAAGGATCATTCTGTGTGACGGTCCCATGATTAAGTCTGGGTACACTGATGTAATGATAACCAGTACATTTGTGCATATCATGTCATAAGGCAGTTGAATATGAGAAGTACTCATGCCTTTTCCCCCAAAATAGGTGTTGGCCCCGACAATCAAGTCATATCGCCCTTGTCGCTTGTCAAACGTGGATAACTTTGTTGATTCGTCACCAGGTAGTGGCCTTCATATTATATGATATTGTCCCCGTATCGAATTGTTTACGTACTGCCCTGGTAATAAAAATTAAAATGGTACTTCAACATCTTCTAAGGCGGGTTTGTTGTTTTCACGTGTATCGTTCTATTATCATTGTCGTATCTTATATTTTCTCAGAAGTGGGACCTGACACTTATGTGCCTGATGCCAGTTAAGGGCTTCTGATGAGGTTGGTATTTGGTCAGGATTGTCTTGTAGATCGAAGGAACCAAAGCCTCATGGAAAACTCTTCGTCGGCCCTGACGTGTCTTACTTCGGCCCTAGTACTTCTTCGTTTATTATCTCATAGGGATTTGAGCATCTGGTTGTCAACTAGTCGGAGTCTGATCACGGTCTCAAACATATTCTGTTCATCTTCAACGGGTAACGCCGTCCCTGATGTATCTCAGGAGATAAAATATTTAAGCCTTGCACTATCTTCGGCTGGTCTGTACAGGCCTTGATGCATTATGTATGCATGAAGTTAGAGTTGTAAGCTGTTCGTTAGAAAAATGGTAAAAATCTAATAAGTCGTAGACTAAATTTTAGCAAACGTCGTTATCTTTACCAGATTTGCTAGACAGGACACTCATCTTCAAGATGTAAAGTGCAGTCAATCGTTATCTTGTCAACAAGAGCACACCTTATTGGTTGCAGGTCAAAATAGGAAACAATGTTCGGCGGGTGGTGCAGCTGGACTAATTACAACTGATGTTGATGGTGGTGTGTCGACAATAGATTTTATTGGGCAACGAAGGTGGTCGGTTGTCCATCAACAGGTTGTGTAATTTTGGTAACACTTGTTTCATCATTAAT